GTTCTTGTTGTCAGTTTCTGTCCAGATTGCCTGAGTGAATGTCTGGAGGTGTAGGCACCTCGGAATGGTTGTGTTAAGCTAGCACTAAGTCCCTCCCCCATCCACCTTTATTCTTTGCTTTACAATAAGGCTTTCAAATAAGTCATGGTTGTACGGCAGTGAAGCATTGGTGTTGAGCACTGATGTCATGCTGTCATTGATGATGATGATGATGATGATGATGATGAAACCAATCTATATACCTGGAACCCAGCTGATCCCCCGTTTACGATGTTCTCAAGCTGGGTTCCAGGTGAGCCTCCTGTCAAAACCAACTTGGTATGCAGATAAGCTTATAGCTCGAATGTCGTGCAACTTGTGCTCAAGTAGAACATAAAATTGACGGGAACTCGGGGACTGCGGCTACCTGACGATCCCCAGTAAGGACTAACCGGAGGTGGGTTCTCGCAGAGTTTTCAACAACCTTTTGAGTAGTGTATTACACCTTAGGTATATCACCATTTGTCCAGGATGAAAAGTTTTCACCGGACTCCTTTTGAAGCTCGGATCAACCACTTCGACAATGAACTATTGGTAACTGAACTTCTTTTCCTCTGGTTTGCTAAATCCTTTTCCAGTGTTCACAATTTTTAGCGTGGTGGACGAATCTTAAGTTGCAACGCAGAATGTATTCATCTATCGCGGTGCAGGATAACGAGGTTTGAGTCCGCAGAGGCAAACTGCGCGGGAAACTTTCCAAACCCAACTGTATTACATGGTGTGAGTTGATGTAGGTGTCTTAGGATGATCAACAAGTGTACAGTCTCATCATGGATAACTGACACCTGTATGATCCATCTGGTTCCTTGAGAGTTCCCGTAACTTGGACAGTTTCCGAACTGTCCATTGTGGATATAGAGGTGGTTAATCCACAATAAAAAGAAATTCCTGCCCAAGCTGATCACTTGGTGCAAACCAATCATGAATGTAATTGGTTGGTACGTATATAAGTCGAATGGTACGTTCACGTCAAATGGTATTTTATCTAGCGCGGGTTCTCAATGAAGTTAGCAGTTGAACAGCACAGAAGCGGCTACCTTCGGGTATCTAATGCAGTGAGGAAATTGTACACAAAGGTCTGAAACCTATACCAAAGCCTAAAAACAGTATACCGCAGTGCCTAGATCTCGCCCCAAGTTGGTAAATAACGAAGATTCCGAAAGCTCAGTTACCGTGAGTGCATCAAATGTCTATCCGTAAGTAGTAGAGAGAGCGCCAGAGTAGCTGGTTGGCAGAGCTGCTCAAAAGCTCGTAGATCAATGGTTGCGACAGAAACAGGCCATGATGAGCAGACGCGAAATGATTTATCTGAATGGTGGCTTCCTGTTCATCAATCCATGGGGTTTGAGGCTGACATTCTTAAAGCTGAGGTCAATAAGAGTGGATTGTGTTCCCGTAAGCTTTCGATGTTGGACCGTGACCTTCAGATGCCCGAGGTGTGATAAGCGCCAAACTTTATTGCACACTGCCATGCAGTGTGCAAGAAGTAAGGTAAACCGGTTATTGGCACCACGCAATGACCCGTTTAATATAGAACTAGTAGTGTCTTTGAAATTTTACTATATATGCGAGCTGAAATATCGCTGATTAACCAAAACTCAAACAAAACGACCAATATTCATTTCAAACAATTTAAGCTGGAAGAATAGCTGTGCCTGTATTACATTGTTCTTTAGGGTACTGGATAATTGTGGGTGGGGATTGCTGTAATGTATCCTGGTGAATAATACTGGGACAGTGATCAAATATGCCCATCTAAAATGACAACGTAGAACTAACTTAACTTCAGTCAATAAATAGTTGTAAGCCCAGGCAGACAGTCTGTCAAAAGGATGTTCATATTTAATCGTATGAAACTTACACAGAAGTCTGAAGCTTCCTGTAGCTTTCTGTTGTTTAGATGCATAATTGTGTCGATGTTAGCCAACCAGCTGTACAATCTAGTCTCATCTTCAGCCAGTGACTTTTTGTGTGGGAAAGGGAACAGCTAAAACCGCTATTCATTCTTACCATGAACATGCCTTTTTCTGCCAGATCGGGACACAATAACGCCACCCAAAGGAAACTTTGTAGCCGTAGTTTGATCTCCCTTCTGGCAGTCCTTGCATAAATGTGCTTACGATTTGCAGTCTACTTACAAACAGCAAAGAGGGATTCTGTCAGGACAGGTTTGTGATCACCGTCATTCACATTATTCAAAAACTTTTAATAACCATAATTTGCAAAAGATTTGGTGAGAAAATATCTTCAACCATTTCCAACTGTAAATTAGGAAAAATCCACTAGGAATACATTTTATATCTTTGGAGCCCGTGGATGCCAAGTGTCTGGCGATTCCAAGACTGACGTGATCATCTCGGTGCTTAAAAAACAACTAAAAATTCCGAAAAAAATGTGCAACCTTGTCAAAGCAAGCGACATGAAACCGCGCAAATGTATGAACCTTAGCATTGGATTCCAGATGCTCTACCCATGCTCTAGAGATAGATTTGGAGCAGTTGCCTGAAGAATCCCTAGTGGTTGTCGTTTCTGTCTTTATCATGCGACAATTAATATTCAGAGGCTGATTTTTTTCTCCATGGCATCTTGTCTGTCTAGTCGGAGGAAAATTACTCATCAGACTGACTGTATGAAGGGAAAATTCAGCAGATAAAGTTCCTTCGTTTCAGTATCGCGTTGTTCGTTTCCTCCCACAGGGCCCGCCCCGGCAACAACGAAGATCACTACTACTGTATGGGCGACTGCACTTTCTCTTGCTTACTTGAGACTCCGAGCCCAGGATGCTGCCAATGAGTGGAGCCTCCTAGCCAACAAAGCCAGATCGTGGCTAGTAGATCAAGCGCGTAAATTTGAAAAAGACCCCACAATCGTTAAACAACTTTGTGAACAACTTCTGACTTTGGCGGAGAACGTGATCAAAATGAAGGGATTATAATGCTCCGCTTAATTTTCAGTCCACTTTCATCATCGTACTTTGTTATGACGACTTTCACCGCGCCATTTTTTTATTTTGTAACTTTTTTGCTCGTTCATACTTTTGATAACTTTCAAACGTAATAATAACACCATTATCTTTCTCAGATTCCTTCTTTCATTCCAGTAACTCAGTCTAGTCTCGGAAACTTTGTCACAGAGCTGTAAATTTGAAGGAGTTAGCTCTTGTGATGTATCATCATCATCATCATCATCATCATCATCATCATCATCATCATCATCATCATCATCAGCAGCAGCAGCAGCAGCAACAACAACAACAACAACAACAACAACAAAAACAACAACAACAACTGCAAGAACCGCCTACTTGCCGTATTGTGGTTATAGCTGCCACAGTCTCGTTCACCGATGATTTGTGAAAGTGGGGTAGATGGCTGCGCCTTGGAGGCGGTAGCTGACGTTGACCATCGTTCAGCTGTAACACGTTTTCGGTGCCTAGCTGCCATGCCACCTGGTGGAAGCACGAGGGCTGGTATACTACCGGGTCGCCCAAGGCTAGACAGGAAAAGTCGAGATACAGAGGCCGGATTCAGTAAATTCTCGCTCCAACCACTGAGCCGTATCGCCCTTAACTAGTTGGTTGGTTGTTAGTGAAATTTTCATCGGAGGGGGGAGGTTGTAGGGGAGCTATGCATTGAAGGCAATAGCTTGGATGCACGAACGCCATTGGGCAAGACTGGACCATGTCTGGCAACGTATAGGAAGCACTCGACCGGTTGGATGTCTCAGTTCACCCCAACTCAAAAACGAGTTGTTCAACAGAGAAACGCTCCAACTGGTGAGGTTAATGGGATCGATCGGAGACTAAACGATAGCTAGCAGTGAATGTCACTAGTTATGGTCATGATAATCAGAGCCTCCAGTGCTGTTACCGGTGCTCCACTACCACATTACTTGGCTTTAGGAGAGAGTCTCAAGAGATTACCGAAATTTTGGTGCCATTTGTATACGTGACCCAAGTGGTCACATCTGTTTCTGTCCATAACCCGCTGGGATTGGGGTGACGTCATGAAGACTGAAGACTATGGAAGCCGTTAAACCCAAACCTACGGAGTTTTCTGTTAGAAAGAAGCCCGTATACATGAGGTTTCCATTCAAAGGTGACTCGGTTGCTGAACTAATCACCAGAAGGCTTAGAAACTCCGTTGATACGACATACTTGGCCGCTAATCTATGTTTGAGCTTCAACTCCAGCCCCACTATAAGATTCTGCTTGAAAGACAAATTGCCACGTTCTACCACCAGCTTTTGTGTGTACTCATTCGTATGCTCGTGCCGAGCATCATACGTTGGTCGTACGACAAGGCATTTGTCGGACAGAATACGAGAACACAATCCCGTATCTCTGAGTGGTAGTGGAAAGAAACCAGGCTCAAGCGCGATTGCAGCACACTTGGCCGAAACCTGTCATATCATAGACAAGAAGCAAGCCTTCACCATCATATACCGGGTACCTCTGAACGGATCACGACTGGTACGATCCAGACTACTATCGATCGCAGAGGCGATAGGAATCCGACTGCTGGATCCACAACTTTGCATCCAAAAGAAACTTGTGAGACCTCTGAACTTGAACTGGCCTACGAAACATCTGGTCCCACGAGTCTGTCTGACATTGACGTCATGACCCATTGACCTACCCCTCACCCAACCCCCTTCCTTTGACTTCTATTTCTCTAAAGTGTAGCCCCGATCTTAAACTTTTCCACGTGATTTCTACTACAATATAAATTTGTGATGTATTAGCCAAGATGAACAATCACAGAAAACAAGCTTTGTTCGCTACCTTCTTCGTTCTCATGACATCATGATACTGGGCCAGTGAATCGCGCACCTGGCGTCTCGATAGGGTCGTCGAGGCTATAATCTAAAACCGGAACTACAATGGACAGAGTTGTTTGGCTTGTGCTGCTAACAAGCGCATGAATTTTCATGACAGACTCCTTTCGCTGCTGCATGCTGACCGTACACATTCCGGCGAACAGCTTTCGAACGTTCAGTTTGGCAGTATGCATCGATTTCACCAACTGTTCTTATCCATGCGATCTCACCGCTAACTGGGCATTCCACTTGTTGACGCTGAACCGGTTTGACTCCTTCATATTCTAACTCAATCGGGGGCAGCACGAACCCCTGATCGCCTGACTCATTCACCGGCGGGCAGGGATAGGGATAGGGGGTCCGAGTTTATTATCTGGAATTGCCTGTCACACCCACAAATGATAGGAGATCGACAACCTATGCAGTGATGTGTATGCCTGGCGCAAATATGGGCACATGGCGATGATGCAACGTACTGACTGGACGACCGGGAAACTGAGCGAGATGCTCGAGTATCCAGGGGGCGGTGGTCACAACAGGCTCACCCATGAATAAATACCAGACAGTATATACGATGTGTTTGATGTGTCTGGTCTGTTTGGAGATCGCAAGGCTCGCGTCTCGCGCATCACTTTTGTGAGCGTTTACGAAACCTGAGCGGCCAGCCCAGCTTGCGGGTCACCCAGTTCACACACTGCCTCGCTTCACGACTGCACAATTGTGCACTTGTGTACGGCGCACGTGCGATTGCATGGGCATGTGCTAAGACAGTTACGAACTAGGCGCTCAATGCTCCTGATTTTCCGATATGATAGTACACTGGTTCAGCTGAATCAGCCGACCACAAGTGCACCAAGTATCGGTTCCTTTTGAGAATGACACAGACAGGTCGCAAGAAATGGAACAAACGGCATGTTGAGCTGGCATCGAGTGCTGCTAGAGAGGCAGAACTGACGAACTCGATCAAAGCTTACCAAACAAGAGATCGATAGCCTCTGGCTGACAATACGCGTAGACAGGAGGTGACAGTGGATGACCAGACGCTCTCATGACAATGCACACGAGGTCGATGAAAACTCTGAACGCTCTGATACCAGTTTTACCCTCCTGGAGACTAATCAGTTAGGCCGAATTTCCAAAAAACTGTGAAAAATGAGAGACTCAAATGGATTTCACCTGACTCTCTTAGAAACATCAGCTTATTTTGCAGATGAATGCCTATCGTAGCATAATTTGAGTTTAGCGTCCAAGAACGAAACGGTGCTGACGGATATTCGGGGACTAAGCCTGCTTGATGAGCCCCAGTTAGGAAATCGAGAGTGGGCTGTCCAGGGTTCCCATCGACTTTGTGAGTAGTATTGAATGTCATTTCATTCTGTTCACTTGGCTCGAGCAAGCCTTTGTGTGAAGAGAGAAACGTTATCCAGCGAAAATTTTACAGACTGTTGATCAAAACTTGAGAACCAATAACTTCATGATCGTTTCTAACCTTTGTCACATTAGTAACCGATTTCTATGTTTCGTAGTGATCACTTTTTAAAAGCATCAAAAGGATCTAGTGGGTGAAGGAATAACTCCGAAAAAAGACGTTTCAGAGAACCCTGGAAAACAAGCAGTAGGACAAACGTTTATAATAAGCACACCATAACCCGTACGGTGGTGTCTGAATCGACTTTTTCAATGGCTGAAATGTCTTCTGTGAAGAATGGGTTAGACCGAAAAGTTCTTGCACATGCTACCACCGCTATGATGCTCGTGCTGAGGTAAACGCAGATGCGAGAGATCTGTGGACCAGTGCGAGTGAATTAGAGAATTTTATCGGTCGACTGTTCGGAAAACTTCAAGCGTTCAGGCAGAATTAAGTTACTGTACTGTTTAACACCGTTTGCAGCTCATGGCTCATCGCCCACACTTGAAGTTCACTACATCCACCCCTGGTAGATGTCTTCATATGTAATGTCGATGGTAGTTTATTTGAAGTGTGGGTTGGGCTGTGAGGCCGTGATTACTGAGTTTACAGTTACGAATCTGAATGCATTTTGTCAGCCCATTTGCAACCAATGCATACTATATCAGCCTACACGAATAAAACAATGAAAACAACAACAACAACAGCGTTTTTCAATCTAGCAAATAGAATTGTTTGATCGGTCCGCAAGTGAATCAAATGAAACCCACCGCGATCGTCGGATGATCAGTTTTGTTTTGATTATCACTTCAAGCCTGGGACTTACGCATCCGATGAAGCGTTTTACAGTTGCTCAAAGGGCACTTCCTCCGAAAGCGCGTCCGAAAGCTATTCGGCACGCGATAGCTCCTACGGAACTGCTTCAGCAGCGGACTAAAAATAGCGTACCAACGGGCTAATCACTCGCCAAATCGACCAGAAATTTCAAATGACCAACTGTGCCAATTTTCAATGATTTTCCCCATGGGGGAGATTCATGGTGAGAACCCTGTCATAAAGAGTAGTGTGTGCAAGAGGGCAATGTAGATTGTTGCAAAAGTGCTAATTACAATATATCAGGCGTCAAATGGATGGTTTTGATGTTCTGGTTGAAGAGCATTCCCAGAGTAAGTGTGTTTACTTTAGATGTCAGTATTGAAATTTGTATCTATGCATGTGGAGAGCGAAATGATGTGAAAGGTATGTTAATGAATCTCGCAAAATGCTGCCAATGACATCAAGCAACTAGGACCAAAAGGATGCATTTAATACCGATATACCACTCCTATTCACCTCATAAGACACTGAAAAGAAAGTATGGGGAGTAAGTTGAAACCAAGAACCTGAAGATCCAGTTCCTTTATGGAATTATTCAAGGTGGAAAAGAGACTTCTTGCAACAAGCGAGTGTAAATCCTCAAGATGTTCAAGTGCGCTGATTTATGCGTTCACGCTGGTGAACGCCTTCGGGAAAGTGGGGTTAAGGTCACGTGAGGATGGCGGTCGGGCAGACCATTCAGAAACAGAAGACGCAGGATACGTTAGGATACGTCTCACTTCGTCAGGAGGTGGAACAGACTGACCTTGACCTCGGTGGAGTGAGGTCGCGTAAAACAAACCAATCTTTAACTACTTTTCAGAACCTACCCTTTCCAAACGCTTTGCACTTATTATGGTTTGGTATCTGAAAGGTTGCTAGAGTTCATCGTTGAACCTACTTTTATTTTCGAGACATGTCGTGGTCACTTGAAACGAACGAGAAGATCTATGCTTTTTCTGCACATAAACGACTGTTCAGAGTAAAGAAAATATTACGTGTGCCCAACAAATACATGATTTGCCCATTGCGTCCACATAATTACGCAGCATAGACGAAATGAGTTTATTCGTTGAGGCGGTATATTTGTCAAAATTTTGTCGTTGTGACGATTGTCGTAATAAACCGTGCAATTTTGAAGGATAGATTTAAACCACTGCGATGGGATGCGAGACTGGTGTAGATATTCTGAAACAAGTTGACTAGTATACCAGGCGTTTTTAAGGACTTACGGTGTCGTTTGGGGAGCATGCTGGAACGGGTGGTATCTATATGCTCAGGCTTTCAACCGAAATGTGTTGACATTAAATGGATCATCGAGTCAGCAATTAGCATAATCTATTCACGTCAGTTATGTCAAAGCCTACTCTTACCCAGCATGTAGAACATCATTGTACCTTATGATGTGTGGCTTGTCTGATACACTGATTCGCGTGCGGCGAGCTTAACCATTCGGCAATATGGTTTATTAGTGATAACGAAGAATTACAACAACCAACACTCACATTTCGTGCGCAATTTACCATAATTAAACCATGTGCTACTCTAGATAAGCTGATCATTTGGTTATATGTTCATTTCTGACCAATAGTTTTTTAAGTCCGTTCGTATGTCAGTCAATCTTACGTCAATTCCTTTGGAATGATTCATACAAAAACGCACCTGAATAGAGAACACCCTACCGATGTGACAAATTATTAACAAAAATTATAGGTCACTGGCGTTCCTGCTGAAGATATCCATCAGTTTTTTGTTTGCACAAAAACATACGCTAATAAGAACCGGTCATTTTTTCCGGAGTTGTCTGGGTTATCGATTCACAGTATCACACGATGTTGACAAATACAACTGCTAAGGGCTTCTTGGATTACTATTGTAGACACACCAATTCAAACAACCACAAAGGAAAAAAGTCAGGCTGGCTGTGGTCTGGCTACATGGGAGGCCTTCCTCCGCGGATCACCGAGTGTTCCAGTTAGATATTCGCGTGTACGAAAGGTGGTGAAGTGTTTTATTCCGAACAACAGACAGTGGAGCAAGAACTTCACTTACTTTCGTGAGATAAAAGCTGCAGCCTGATTTCGTGTCATGCAGCTTATCTGGTTACAGCGTAGCAAAACACGGAACAGATGCTGTATGAAGCAAAATTTGCCCATCTGATACATCGAGCACAGAAAATCAAATTCATCGGTCCGAGCAATGAATGCCACGGACCGAGCTCAGTTATCCAGATTACAAGTACAGCAATGTCGCTTAGCCGATTCAATCGAGAATGAGGCCTAATCAAATGCATGTGAACTCGAAAGCTGCCTTCCCAAAGGTATGGTTCCAAGCTGTCTTCCGCATTTATTCAAAGACAAGTAGCCAGAACCTTGCTTTGCATGGGACATTAAGTTAGTGCACGCGGTGTCGTCCAGTAGTTCACCCCGACACACAGGGAAACTGGGCAACACGAACTTCATGCTCAACAACATTGATAGACAAGCTTTTGATTTATATCGTACGCACTGGATATCTAGTTGTGATAGGTTCCCAAATAGCAATGTGCAGAGAAAGACCAAGGTAGGCCATTTTGGACCGACCGATGGAGGCATGCGATGAGTATGAGTACGTCCCAGTTGGTGTGCGATCCACGCTCATATGCATGCAAATAGACGGTGTACTGAGTGGGTAATGTATTCTTCCCAACGACGAGCCACTCTCCAAATCATAGGAAACGAACAAATAAGTTGCTGTGGTTTTCCGCTGCAGGGGCTATGCACTACGGCTCAGTGATATGGACAATCGACCGTTGTCTCCTTCAGCTGGTTGCAGGAAAGTCACCCAGGTCAAGCAACACCTGCCTGTGCTGATCGATCAATCCATTTACAGACGTACCGTGATTTTATCCCACTGATTCCGATAATCAGGATGACAAAAGGTCCCAAAATTGACGCGGAAACCGTAACTGTTACCAATCAGACTCATTACGATGAGAAGTATATGTGGTAAACGTATTGCTGTCTAGTTAACGCGATCCTAGTCGCTCATTTGGGTAAGCGAAGCTGAAGTCAGGCGCAGACAGTCGTACGAAGACCAAAACATCTGAAACATACGAAGACTCTACGTTCATCATACCAAAACTGAGATGAATAAGATGACGGGATCATGAGAAGCAGAACACCTAAGAATAAGAGGCACTGAGAAATCAGGCTATCGTTATCGGATAGTTTGAATCTTGTATACGGAAGTACCTGAAATTCTGGGTAGATTAGGTATCATCCAGCAGAAGCTAGGACCAACCAGGTAACTAAATATAACTTCGGGGGCAGTGGGTTTTTGGCAAATATAGCAGCCGGTAAGAATAGGTTTGTATGGTAATAGTAAGCAAAGCCACTCTTAAATCACCTTCCACTGATTGTATTGATTATCAGAGACAGCAAGACGGAGTTCCTCAAGTTTGTAGACGAGTCTATCGATCAGCGGCTGATCTTCGCAAATACTATGTAATCGCCTACAGACTAGCTGTGATACGTGCCTGAATAACTTTCAAAACATCCCCCGCTGTGGCTAGCTGTTCAGGACAACTATCGATTCTTCGGATCAGTGGATAGCAGTGTATAATTGATTGATTATATCCCATATCAAACGGCCGGATAAGCCCACCAAAAAAGCTGACAGAGAAATCTATTCCGCCACAAATGATCAGCTTGAACAAAGCAGCCCCCACGCCACGTTACGATACATAAACAAAAGATGTGTCTGATGGCCAAAATGTGGTTCCATTTGTTATACCAATCCTAAAAAACAATGGAAGTCACTCAGTGAAATGAATAGTTCGGGGACAACACCGAGTTGAGGAATGCATCCCAAATGTCGTGCAGATGTCAAGCTGTAGTCAGCGAATCAGAAACAATTAGATGAAGCAGAGCAACAACAAATAGTTTCACATGGCAGTAATGTCAATGCAGTTGACAATGAGTTGACAATATAGGGTGCTGTGGTGGAAGGGCAGTCAGGATAAGAGATTAAACGGAAACAGGGGTCGCGAATGCGGCGCAAATTGAAAGCGCAGAGATATCCGTTTTGTGACGGGTAACCTCATTGATTCTTCTTATCATATGGATTATTAGAAGCTGGACCCGATGAGTAGGGTGGGGGATCCTGATTTCCACTCGCACTACTCCCAGCAGGGAATGGTGGAGGTTCCATGTTTGGAGGAGGGGCAGACGGGTGTGCGTAGACCGTGTGCGGATTGTCTTGGAAGTAGTAGCCAGGTTGAACGTTATTCATAGTCACTGCTGAAGCGGCCGCTTCGGCAGCTTTAGCTAGTGAAACAAAAAACGCATGGGCTTTAAGATCCACTGCTTCGAACGCCAAAAATTAAAAAAAACTACATGAATACGACAAAGTCCAACAAGTTCAACTCCTCAAAAGCAGCTAGACCAACTTCCAAAAGGATATTACTAAGCAGCCAAATTTCGTCGTCTTTTGGATAACAGTCATAACTGAAAGAAATGAAAACGAAAAAAATACCTACTGACACTAGTGGTTGGAAAAAGTTGGAAGAAACTATGGAGTTGCTGAAAATTCTTCGACAGCCGATGACCGGTTTCACCCTTCTTGGAACTCATCAGACAGGCGCAGTCCCTCCGTCAATCTTACGGAAACTAGGGGACTGAGCCTACCTGATGATGAAGAACTGGAACAGCCAACACTCACATTTCGTGCGCGATTTATCATAATTAGACCACATGTTACTCTAGATAAGCTGGTCATTTGGTTACATGTTGATTTCTGACCAACAGTTTTGAAGTCCGGTTGTGGGTCAGTCACAGTCATGAGTAGCCATTTTCGGAGGCACTTTCTGTCTAGTGTTACGGGAATACAAAATATCATAAGCAGATTGGATAACGCACAATGGAATGTGTTCAGCTTGGTGAGTTCAACTCAGAGGTCACACGATTAGTCAATAATGTGGGAGAATTTTAGTGTTGTATTGAAATGCAAGGCACTAGGAGTTATGTGCCTGCTGTATCAGGTTAATGGAGTCCCAAACAGGGTAGTTATCAATAAGTTTCGTTATACGTAAGGCTGTGCGTGGAACAGTATGAATGCACTTCATTCCGGGGTAAAAAGGAGAGAACGGTAATGATGCCAACAGCATGAATTACCAACAAACTGTGGTCGTCGGGTATGTTAGGAAGAAACCATGAGATGCATCGCACATAGTTCAGAAGAATCACTGACCAATTATAAGCCACAATGGACCCAGACTTATGTAAATTGACGTACCGTGGTAGTTGCAGAACAGAAACCCCAGTGCCCTCACAGATACAGCATACTTACAGTTCAGAGTCAGTTGGCTATGGAGCTGTATGCATTCATTATCATCATCAGAGAAAGCAACATCAGTGTTGATGCTGATGCTTCACTGCCGTACAACCCCAAAGTCTACCTAATTATGTCTAAAGCCATAAAATGCAAAGGAGTTTGAATAGTGAGTAATGGAAGGGACCTGGTGCTGGCCTCACGCAAACACTTTGTGGTGTTTAAACCTCAGATCGGTCAGTCAGACAAACTGGAAAGAAATTGACAGCATGAACGCCGCTAAGGCATCGGTGGTCAAAAGCTGAGGACGCCTCACATCATCTGTCTGCAGAGATAATGTTTCGCAACCATACAACAATACAGCCCTTGAAACCCAGTGATATGCCTTTTTGACGCCACAAGTGGTACAGATTAACAAACATGATTCCAGCCTTTGAGATTCTTGCATCATCTTCCGTCATAGCTAATACAACCATCGAGGTATATAAAATTCTCCACAACCTCCAACGATTCCCTTTCAATTGTAAGGGGTGTGTTCAGAGACGGCACTTTATGAAGCATGCCTTTGCACTTCGGGGGTGCATGCCGAATGATGGCACGATAACGGTCAGTTTATTCAACCGTTTTACTTGGCCTTCGTCTTCAGCGATCAAAATGACGTCGTCTGCGTAGTCCACATCGAAAAGGTTCTCACCAGCAACGACTTGAACACTGGGGTTTTGAAGACCTTCTAAAGTTCGCCTCATCATTTAATCAATCACGAAGTTGAACAAGAACGGAGGGAGTAGGCACCCTTATCGGACACCACTTTTTTGTAGGGAAGCTTTTGGAGAGCTTACCATGCACTCTCACACGCCCAGAGGTAAATATAGGGACGGATTATGTTAAGAAACTTCTGGGGCAGATCATGCTGAGCAAGTGTGGTTAGCAGCACTGACAAATAGACAGAATCGAACGCACCCTTGAAATGGGTTGGGTGTACATGTGGCATTCCGCTAACACCTGACGCACTCTCATAAGGGTGCTACAACGCAGCCCCTACCGGGTCGAAATCCCGCTTGATGCTCACGGTTGAAGAATTCGCGAGCCGCCATAAGACAACGAAGAATCAGTGACGCCCGAAGGCTTGTCACAGCAGGGGTTAAACTAACACTCCTGTAGTTACTACATTCAGTGTGAGTACCCTTTATGAAAATGGACACTATGGTCGATTTGGTAGTAGATAGGTAATCCTTTGCATAGCCCTGCAGAGTTCAACATCAAGATGTAAATACTTGTATAAGAAATAATAAACGTACAACTGTGGCACCAATGAAACAAAAGTTCTGTTGTGTGTAATCTAGGCTTATTGCTGACCTCAACGGTAGTATATAATATGCAATTGGGTACAAACTACAGCCACCGATCCAACCCAGGTTGAATGGCGAAAGTATTTTTCCATCAGATCAAGAATTACACAGATGACTTTCTGATGTGTCGTCCCTCCCCCCTCGAATCCTTTGGTATCGGTCAATTTCTTCCACACATTACTGATCGAAACATATTCACATCCGTACATTTCATCTTCCCAAACTGTTTATTGGTTCTGCACACGGTTCAAAGTATCTCATCTGTCTGCGTTAGGCAGCCGGCGATTTAACTGTCATATGTACGATAGTTGTTAACGTTCGGCTCAGCACGGCTCTTGCAGACCACGCGTACTTCTAAATATAGTAAGTCGCAGTATTGTAGGACTGTGGTTGCACGCAACATGTGATTTAGGTGGTTCGTGCTCTGGTCGACGCCCACGCAGAAGAACCGTAACAGAATTACAGTTAATACGCTGGCTGACACATTCCAGTACTGCAAAATAATGGGAGGAGTTGATGGGCTAAATATGGCTCCGTATGGCAATATCTCAACTTAAGGTCAATAATTTCCCCTGGAAACATCATTCTGGTTGCGGATACAGATTCACCAAACTGATGATTTCGTTCTAAAATATTGTGTTCTGGCGCCCAAAGAAAGCAGGTGAACCTGAACAAAGCGAATTGGGGAAGACAGGCAAAACGGCTACCACACACCAATCTATTCGGCTGAACGAAAATAGATCACTAGTGCAAGGTCAATAATTCCCCTGGAAACATCATTCTGGTTGCGGATACAGATTCACCAAACTGATGATTTCGTTCTAAAATATTGTGTTCTGGCGCCCAAAGAAAGCAGGTGAACCTGAACAAAGCGAATTGGGGAAGACAGGCAAAACGGCTACCACACACCAATCTATTCGGCTGAACGAAAATAGATCACTAGTGCAAAAATCTTGCTTTCGTACGTAACCCGTGCAGACTCGTCCGCAGGTTTGGGGACTGAAGAGATAACACGAAATTGATATCCGATCGACGAAGGATCAGACCTAATAGATAACTGAGAACCATAATGATTTTTCATTCCCAATAGTACTGCCAGACTTGCTGACCGTTAGTTTGCACCCAATTTGTATTCCTTCAAGCCAAAATTCAAACACCAACGGTGGCGAAATTCGAGAATTTCGTTCAGTTTCAATTCCAATCCAAGGGTAGATATTGTCCATAAATCAAGTAATTGAGTGGCTATGACACGAAAAAATGCGTCAGAAACCAAATCCCGTTATCAGCTATGAGGGCCAAGGAATTGTTCGTACTGCAACTACAGACGACAACAACGCCCGTGGCTTTGAAAACGGAACTCGGTGAATACAGGGTAACCAAGATGTAAATGGATACATGAGATCCGATAAAATGCAGTTAGAAATCCAACTGAGAATCACCGACCGTGTGGCGTGGGGCGCATAGGGCTTACGTGTTTTAACCTATACTACGCTAGAGGTGAATTCACTGGCTCCTGATTTGTAGACGAAATTGCGTTCGACTGCCTACCGTAGAACATGTGATTCGGATGTGATACACTAATTGTTCAGCTGTAGCACCCCCTTGGTGCCTAACTGCCATGCCACCTGAAAGAGGTATGAGTGCTGAGATACTGCCAGGTTGCCAAAGTGTAGACAGCAGCAACCGAGATTAAGAAGTAAGATTCGAACAACAGACCTTCCGGTCAGTAAATTTGCTCTTTTACCACTGAGCCCTATCGGCCTAACAAACGGAAAAACGTAGGTCTACAGTAAACCTCTGTAAAATGACCATAAGTCGCATTCACCATGCTCGGGGTTCTCTCTGAATACACCCATGAACTTTAGGACCACAGCTGTTTAAATAGAAAGGAACTAGGATTGTGAGAATAAGTAAATGAGGTAAGTGACGCAAAGCAATGAGGACCAGACTCTTAGACATCCAAACCACCGTATTGTGACTTCCAAGGATGGGGCAATACGATTAAATGGATGAATATGGGCAAGTTAAAGATAAGAAACACCCGGAAACTAATGATCAAAGATCAAAATCGGACGTTAACTAAAGCGTGCGCATCCTGGTACTTACCAGCATGTGAAGCGCTCATGTTAGACTGGTTCGGAATGTTGAAATTCGTTCCTGCGCCGGGCATGTTATTATACTGTGGTACTTGCGTTTGTGGGTAGGGTGGTATCTGCTGTTGTGGCCCTGTGGGCGGAGGAGCGACTCCCCAAGCAGAGCCAGTTTGTGACACCGCTCCTGGGTAAGGTGGAGGACAGCCCACGTAATAAAGAGTCTGCGCTGGAACACAAACAAAACGTTCGTATTGGTGTCAGCCTGTCAAGGATTTATTTCGCAAAGCCGACAGAAAGATATCAAGAGCTAATTACAGGGAACAGAATGATGATATTCAACTACTCCAACTTACCTGGTGGTGCGCCGAACGATTCGTGCTGTGGTACGAAGTTGTAGTAAGGATCCGCCTGTGGAGGGGCGTATGCTGGTGGAGGGCAATCGTAGTATTGTGCTGCGCCGACGGCTTGTGGGCTGTAGGGTGGTGGAGGAGCAAAGTACTGTTTGGCTGCGCAGGCTCGTCGACCGAGTTCGATTAGCGCCCGTCCAAACTCGATCGCACCACCGCGGTTGAATGTGAGCGAGAACTCAGCTTTACCCTAAAATCAAAGATAAATATTGTCACGATAAAAACTAAGACGGCAATACAGAAATGTAGTAACGGTATAAAAACGATGCGCTGTCTGAACAGAGTTTCACTACAGTGATGAACGTAGTTTCGACGAATTCACCTTCTACTCGTCAAAGAAAGCGTCTGCTCATACAAACACAGCGCAGGCTAAACAAACACCTGTGGAGTCTTACGGGTGAGCCTATCGAAGGAAGTAAACTCCTTAGGTTTCGTGAAATCCCAAACGAAGTTTAGACTGCCATGAGTCAATTCCAGACTTAATTCGGAATAGAAGTTTCCGGTCTCTTGCCTATGGACAATGGCATCCGAACCTTACAGTTGTTCCGGTAATTAAGCGAACGGTAGTCGTTTTCAAAAAAGGACACGGACGCGGGCTTTCCCCAGGAATATCGTTTTCCTGCGAAGACCCACCTAACCATCAATAAAGATAAACTAAATTCAGGAATTCTGGTCTAATGCTCACGTTTATGCACTGCCTTTTATTCGGAATGACAAATCCTAATATCCTA